ATATCTGGAAAAGATTTCAATTCTCCCTCACTAATGAAGTTTAGTTTGGCTGGGTAGGTTATTCTTGGTTGAAATTGTTTATCTTTTAGAACTTTGAAGATAGGGCTCCAGGCTCTTCTAGCCTGAAAGGTTTCTGTGGATAAATCTGCTGCTATTCTAATTGGTTTTCCCTGGTAGGTAGTCTGGCCTTTTTCTCTTGCTGCCTTTAGAATTTTTTCTTTTATAGCTACTTTGTTTAGGCGAATTATTATGTGTCTGGGAGTCGGTCTTCTCATCTGTTGTCTTGCATGGGTTCTCTGAATCTCTTTTGTTTGAATTTTTTCATCCTTGATGAGATGAGTGAAGTTTTCTTGAATGATTTCATGAAATGTTCTTTCCAGCGTGGCTTCTGTTTCTCTCTCTGCCTCAGGAAGCCCAATTACTCTTAGGTTTGGCCTCTTGAAGTGATCATTCATCTCTTGCAGGTTTTGTTCTATCTTTCTGAGCTTCTTTTCTATGCTTTTGACAGTTTGGGTTAGTTTTGTGTTTTTGTCTTTGAGCTCTGAGATTCTTTCTTCTGCTTGGCTAATTCTGCTTTCCATGCTTATTAGTTTGTTATTTATTTTCATCACAGTATTTTTTACCTCTGTTATTTCTGACATCAGCTCCTTCTTATTTTCCTCTTGTCTCTCCTCAATTTTTTTAATTCTCTCCATTAATGTCTTGATATCTGGGTTTGTTGCATGTGACCAGTCATTCTGGGGGCTCTTCATTGTTTGTGTTCCAGAATCTGTTTTCTCAGTGTTTGATCTCCCAGGGGTCTGTGTGAGACCTATATTCTTCTTTTGGTTTTTTCTTCATTTGTGTGGTTTTTCCCCCTCCCTACTTCTTCCTTCCCTCCACATCACCATCTTCTTTAATTCTGTTATTCAGGGGTAGAGGGATTGGTTTTACTTCTGTTTGTTCAATCTCTTATTCTTTATGTATGCCCTCTTACTTTGTTCAATTCTGGAGTTGCACCGTAGGTTGGGGGTGGTCCTTTTTGCAGTTTTGAGATTTACTTAAGGGGGGAGGTGTGATTCAAAATCTATCTGCAGGTCCTGGTATTCACTGACAGGTGTGTGGATAATCTGGAACCCACTTCCCACTGCCTTGGAATATGTCCATGCGGTGGGGCTGTAGTTTTACTCCCTGAAATAAAATGTGGTTAACAGAGGGAAGAGAATGGAGCAGACAGTGGCTTGAAGAGGTGGGTGGAGAGATAGAGGAGTAAGGGGGGAAACAAACGAGTGTGCCAACAAATGGAGAGAGAGACCTATACTGAAACAGATACAAACAATAGACCACATCTACAGATGAACCAACTCCCATACAAAAAAAAAAATAAAACATATAATGATGCTAACATACAAGCTAACCAACCACCTTATTAACCAATCAAAGATATGGTTTACAGAGACAGGAAAAGAGAAGAAAAGGAAGAAGAAAAAAGAAAAAAAAGGAACAATAAAGTAGGAATAGAATTAAGTAACAGAATTAAACTAACAGAACCAATCAAGCACACTCTGAGACATTTCGTTTAAGTCCAATGTCCATTCAGCTCTGATTTCTAGCTTTCTTTTCAAGCTGGTAAATTAATTCGCAGTTAGGGTCACTTGCCCCTGGCCTGCTGTGGAGGACAGTTCAGATCACCCTCTGTTCACCACTCTGGCCTGTGTCTGTTTTTCAAGTTTGTTTCTCCCATTTCGGTGTTGTTACCTTGAATCACCAGCAGGTGGTGCTATCTCAGCTGCTCTCCCCAGAGGGGGTGGGGCCGGACAGGAACTGGCAGAGGCTGGAAATCGATGCCTGCCTCAGTGCATATGGCAGGAGACTCACAGCGGGCAGGATGTCTCAGTCGCAGGAGAGGTGGCAGCGATCCCAGCAGATCTTGCCTTGCCTGCAGGGGCTTCAAGGACTGAAGTAGTGGATTGCCTCCGTCCCAGGTGGTGTGATGTGCTACCAGCGGCAGCGGCAGTATCTGCGCTGCAGTGGTTGTCCAGACCGTTGTGTTGCCCCAGCGGTGGCAACGGCCGAGCTCCTATGAAGAGCAGACTGTGATGTTGGGGTCTGCAGCCCCCGGGGAGAGAGCCAGAGACCCACTGCAGTTCTCCTTTGCAGAGGGTTTCACAGACCAGGTTGCCCCGTCGCTATCTTGCTGGAAGTCGATTTTTATTACTTTATTTTCTGAGTAAAAATATGCTCTTAGGAGCTTTAAAAATAACTACTTTTCCCCCATATGCTTCTACTTAATAGGTATTATCATAATAGGTTGCCTTTAGCATTGCTGATGCAAAGATCCCAGCATATTTCTAGCAAATCAAATCAAGTTTTATTTAGTTCAACTTAAGGGATGAATCAGCTTTGGGTGCTCTCTAAATGAATTACAAATTAATTGGCTGAGTTTGTTCAGTGTTCTGTTCATTATCCCTTCCATTCTGACAGTAATATAGGTAAGCCGGCACTGAAGAATTTGATGCAATGGAAAATTAAGGGAATATGTATGCTAGCTGTTATGATGGATTATTTGAATCTACCTAGAACCTTACTGCCATTTATTTTGATTTCTGTTTTATTTTGATAATTTAACTGCACAACTGTTGTGCATTTAATGTAAAATGATCACTTAAAGTGATTTTGTGTTATAAGTAACTTAATGGTTATTCCTCTTGATTAAAAACAAATCTTAGATGGCATCTTTTGATTCATTTATTGGGACCATGTAATTTAATATTAGTACCTATAATTAGGCAGGGAGAAAACAGATTTAACTGATAATGAGATTTATTAGTACACACACACAAGCACTATATATTTCAAGAGGAGACACACTTTAATTGTTCAGTCTAACATTACTCTCTTGATAGTAAACTAATATTTCATATATTACTTTTCCTTCTGGTGACTAAAATTACTCTTCAAAAGGTTGTAGCTTTAAAACAAGTCTACATCTGTATCAGTTTTAGCTTCAGTAACGCTTTGTGTTAAGTCATGTTTTAATATTATTTTTCACTGTTACCTGATTCTGACTTAGGAGAAGCTTGCATTTTAGTTTTAGTTAGAAAAGAAATGTTGAAAACAGTGTATGTCTAGGAATTATTTGAGGTCTAACCTCTGTGTGAGACTAGATCATATTATCTTAGGCAGAAGGCAGCAACAGAACCTCATTCCTCATGGCATCATTTTCAATATTTGTCCACAACTCACCAACTGTTACGGGCTCTCTCTCTCTACTCCTTACTCTCTCTTGTTCTTTCTCTCTCATCACAAACACACACACACATACATTCACACAGGGCTTTGCAGCATATATATTTTAATTAAAGCCTATGTTTAGATTTTTTTCACAACCTCTTGAAATAATGAGAGACATCTCTGAAAAAATCAGAGATATTTTTATTTCTAGCTCTGCCATGGACTCTCTGTGCCCCATTGAATGAATCCTTTGACTGCTCTTTTCCTGTGGACTTTTTTTTTAACAAAATAGATGTCATTATTCTATCATGTTTCTAATTTATTTTCTATGGATTCCTCCAGGATTTGTTGAATTAAAACAATATACAAAGTCCATAGTTTATTAGATTTAAGAAGCCTAAGAACAAAAAGTGTAGGCTTACTATGAAACTTTCTGAAGTCATAAATACGATATTCAGGGCTATATTTTCTTTTCACATTTCTCTTATTTAACTTTTTAATTAATTATAACATTAGTAGGAAGCCAATGCCTTATATAGAAAATCTAGATTAATTTATCAAAAGCAGTATGCTGGTATAATATTGTCTTTGTTTTTCAGCTGTATGTAGTATGTGAATGTGAATTTCTGCATTATAGAAAAAGTTTGATATACATTAAAATGTTAACAAGCATTATCTCCAAGTTATGGATAATTTAAATTATCTTCTTATTTCTGCATTTATATTTTATATAATGAACATATATTATTTGTATTATTAAAATCAGTTAAGAAATTCTACTCATTTTATACTAGCACACTGTATTATGTTATGAAAATTAAAAACAATAAAAATGCCCACTTTGAGAACGAGAGAACACAGAGTAAGCATTGTCATATGAATTTAGCTGCCATTATGTGTTGAAAATGACTTATCACATTTTACCCTGATGATTCTCTCAATAGCATTCTTTCCTTTGGTTATTCTAATTTTTTTCCAGCTTTAGTAAAATTATGTTGACAGAAACATGGGGCACTGTGCAATTTGATTGGGTATACTCGCATACCATGTATTATTATGCTAATTTCAAAGATGTTTCCAATTTCTCTAAGTTCAGTCTATGTAAAAGTTTGACAGACCAAGAAGTTATCCATATTCTTTGACGTATAGAAAAAAATGCTCCCGTTTTCCAAAGCATCCATCAGGCCATAGAATGCTTTGTTCATGAAAATGCTTGCAGTTCCACCTACAGAATGTCAAACCACACTTTTTTTGTCTCAATAATTTAAACGTTTTGATTTACGAAGATCATTGTTAGGTCTTTTCTTGACAAAGAAGCCAGAGGACTTTTTTCATTCTTGAAAGCATGTGGAAAAAGCTCACATCTATCTAGAACAATTGCTTGTATGCTAGCTTCTGGCATGTGTTCTGTTTATTTGTGTTTGTTCAGAAAATGAAATCTTTTTAAAAAGATAAAACCATGTTAAAAAGAATTTTTTAAATATAACTTTATTTTATTATAGAGATGTGGGGTACAAGTCAGGATGGGGTACATAAGTAATCTACATGCAGGTGAAATTTGGGCCTTCAACTCGTCTTCATTTTCCCTCGTTTAGGATCAGGTACGCTTTGTGTTAAGTGTCCCTCTTCTCCCCTGGCAGTACCCTGTGACTGCTGATCACATTAGTAATTCTATTGTGATTAATGTTCAGGTCCCACTTTTGAGTGAGAACATGTGGTCTTTGGTTCTTTGTTTCTGTGATATCACTAAGTATTGTTATTTTAATTTTTAAAAATGTATTTTTCAGCTACAGGATCGCACTCAGTTCAGTGACCGAGACTTGGCCACCCTGAAGAAGTATTGGGACAATGGCATGACAAGCCTGGGCTCTGTTTGTAGAGAGAAAATTGAAGCCGTTGCAACTGAATTAAATGTTGACTGTGAAATAGTTCGGGTAAGAATTTTCTATAATTTTCATGCTATAGTTGATGAGTGGTATAACGAAAGATTTAAGAATTGTATGAGATGCTGAAAACAATACCATCAATAAAGTGAAAAGATAAACCACAGATTGTCAAATCATATATCTGTTAAGAAATTTTTATTTAGACTGTGAAAAAACACTTGCAATTCAATAATGAAAAAGCAAATAGCACAATTTTTAAATAGGAAAAGGACCTGAATAGACATTTCTCTAAGGAAGATATACAAATGTCCAATAGTTACATGAGAAGATATTCAACATCATTAGTCATTATGGAAATGGAAATCAAAACTAACACTTAATAGTCACTGTGATGATGCTAACAAAAAAAGACAGGTAATACCAAGTGTTGGCCAGGACACGGGGAAATTGGAACATTTATACACTGCTAGTATACATGTAAAATATTTCAGCTACTTTGGAAAACAGTTCTCATAAAGTTTAACATAGAGTTATCAAATTACCCAAAATTTACTCTCCCAGGATGAATTCTACTGCTCTCAAAAGAATGAAAAATGTATATCTGACTCAAATACGTATATACTAACATTTGTAACATTATCCGTAATAGTCCAAAGTCGAAACAACACAAACATCCACCAAATGAATGAATAACCAAAAGGTGGTATATACATATTAATGGATATTATAGAGCTAAATAAAGGAATACAGATTTGGTACATGCTATAAAATTGATGAACCTTGAAAACATTATGCTAACTGAAAGAATTAAATCACAAAAACCACAAATGAATTGATTCTATTTCTATAAAATATCCACAATAAGCACAACATAGAGACAGAAAGTAGATTAGCAATTACCAGGGGCTGAGGGTAGGGAGGAATGGGGAATGACTGCTCATGGATATAGGGCTTCTTCTTGGTATGATGAAAATGTTCTGGAATCAGATAATGGTGATTGTTGCACAGCTCTGTGAATATATTGAAAACATGTTAATTGTACATATTAAATGAGTGATTTCATGGTATGTTAAAAATATGTCAGTAACATTTTAAAAATTACATGAGGTGATCTGAAATACATCTCACATATCACATAATAAATTATGGATTAAAAATCATACTGATCAGTCATGGGGATGCTAGTTTATGTTCCATTTGAAAGATGTTGATATAAGATATAGATAGTAGTGGTGCTGATAAGTATTTAACAATCAGCTCTTTAAGGGGAAAAAAACCCTGCTTTATAGTATTTGCTTATCTCTGTGGTATAAAGATTCTCTCCTGATTCCATGTCTCAACCAGAGTTGTGAAGAGATGCTAACAATTGGCTCTTGTGAGAAAGTATGAGCCTACTTTAGCACACACTGGGAGATTATTCCGGAAGACTAAGAGGGACATACTATTGAAAAGCCAGTAACAAAGAACCAGGCCTGGTGGTGCACACCTGTAGTTCCAGTTACTCAAGAGACTCAGGAAAGAAAAGGCAATATAAGGAGAAGTTGTAGAGCACAGATTTCTCAAAACAAATACCGTCCTTTTCAGAGTCTTGCTTCTTCTTGTTAGGATCCAGATGGGAAATCAAATTCAATCCTGCATTTACAGTGCATGCTGCTATGTGTTAGTGTATAGTAACAAGGAAAGAGAAGTGCATTAAATACTATTACTATTTTAAGGAGGTTGGAGTCTAACAAGAGGGATGACATAAGAATACAAATGACTGAGGAGGAATTAGAGTAGGATCATAGTATGAGGAGCCTAACCAAAAGCCAAACTAGGAAAATGTAGTGTTTGTGTTTTTGTTGCTTTTGTCATTTTTAGTTTTTAAAAAATCATGTTATATATGTATATAGCTTATGGAATCAAGTTTTGTAGAACTTCCTACAAAACCAACATTCCTTACTCCTTCCCTCCTACCGTTTTCCAATAGCCAGAGTAAACCACTTTAAGCAATTTCTCTGGTATTGACCTCCATCTATGAATGATGCACTGTGATAATTAGATTAGGTTTAGCTGTGAGTAACAGAAAGACTCAAAAGTAGCAATGGCTTAAACAAGACAATTCAATTTCATTTATAAGTCCAGGGGTACTCAATTTGCAGCTGACATGGCAGTTCAGCTCTATGTAGTCCTCAGAGACCCTGATATATTCCAGTTTCCATTTCAATATCCCTGTGATATAGCTCTTGTTCTAAAGGTACAAAATGATAGCATATATGGTCCAGGCAGCATGGAGAGGGGAAAGAAGAAGGGGCAAAAAGTGTGTACCAACTATATTTTAACAGAGGTTCCTAGAAACTGCCATAAGATACTTTTGTTTACACCCCATTGTCCAAAGATTAATCTCATGATCATATCAAACTGCAAGGGAAACTGCAAATACTGTTTGACTGTAGACAACCATGGGCCTAGCTAAACCTTCTATTATTCTGGAACAAGGTGAGGACAAATATGGGAAATAGTCAACAGTCTCTCTCATATCTTTTTATATTGCTACTTCTTGATTTTTCAATATTAGACATTATCAGTTGATTTTTCACTATGAAATGCAAGGAATTTATTTTTTAAAATCTCTTTCAAGATCTCTTCGTTAATCCGTGCACTTATATGCATACTTCCTCTCTCCTTGTCCTCCAGTAATTTTGGTTAGTTTAGTATTCAGTGTTAATGTTATTATAACTATGTAGATGCTTTAACATTTGCATTATGTAGTGCAATGTCATTTTTTTTCCTTTTCTGTATAACATTATTTGTTTCCCTGTAGTTGATAATTTACTTAGTTTTTGTTTCAGATAATTATATATTTGTTTGATTTCCTAGATACTTAATACTAATATATCCTCAAACCTCTTTCCCAGTTGCATACATTTTCTCTCCATACATTCATACACATTTGCTGGTGTAACAATTTCTTCATTCTAAGTAAGTATTTCCTGGACTTTTCTGATTTGCTCCAATCTGGATTGGCTAGTCTCTACACTTGGAATACAACTGCTACTCTGAGATTTCCATTTTCAATCTGTTTTTCCTTTTGCTCTACTTTCTGTAAAATATCCTCAAATTTTTCTCCCAACTTTTGTACTGAGTTTTTCCACATTTTTAAATTCAATCTTCCACTAATAACTAATAAGCACCTTGCACCATGACAGCAGCTTTAAGACTCTATAGACAGCCATAAGGTTAAAACTCTTAGATAAGACAGTAGGGAAGTGCTTACTATTCTTTTATTTCTACTGGTTTTTAACATGCCAGAATGCTCACGGCAGATAGAAAAATTGAAGGGATGATATGTTATGAGTAACTCTTCTGTAACATTTTGCACATTTCTCTAGAGAAGAATATGTTTGCCACATAAATGTATTCTTGTGATCTCAGGAGAAACTATTTAGTTGTTTTGGGGCCTAATAAACCTTCTAGTTACTGATCACCAAAATAAACTTTGCCTCAGTATATCTAGTTAACTATAACTTATAGTAAAATTGGGACATTTAAGATTATTTTTCCTTGATATTTCTTATACTTCTAAAATGTCTAGAAAGTAAACTTGCTATACTTTTCCTTAGACTTTACTGAGTATTATAATTATGTGCATGTTTTTCTTTAACTGGAAACGTCATTCCTAGGTTACTGGCTATTATTTACTGATTTATTTAACAGAGGTTAAATAAATAAATGTTTATGCTAGAACTTTTCTAGGCGCAAACGATGTTTTCCCTAGGGAATCTTATCAAAAGCCTCCTTGCACTGATAATCGCCTTCAGCTAAGTCTTGGGGTACGAAATCAATGTACAAAAGACAATACAAAAGACAGTACATCAGCAATAAGCAGAAGACCAAATAAAAAGCATAATCCCATGCACAATAGCTACCAAAAAAGAAATACTTTGGTGTCTACCTAACCAGAGGTGTGAAAGACTTTTGCAACAAGGACTACAAAACGCAGCACAAAAAATCAAGGATGACACAAAAAAATGGATAATATTCCATGTTCAGGGACTGGAAGAATCAATATTGTCAAGATATCCACCCTACCCAAAGCAATCTAGACTCAATGCAATACCCATCAAATTACCAACATCATTTTTCTCAGACTTGGAAACGACAATATAGAAATTCATATAAAAACCAAAAAGAGCACAAAAGGCCAAAACAATCATCAGGAAAAGGATCAAAGTGGAAGATACCACACTTACAGAATTTAAACTTTACTACAAGGCTACAGTAACCAAAACAGCCTGTTGGTGGTACAAGAAAAGACACACAGGACAGAGATTACAGAAGCAAAAGCTCGATCTCTCAACCAACTCATCTTTAATAAAGCCAACAATAACAACCACTGGGGAAAGAAGACCATATTTAGCAAATGGTGCAGGGAAAACTGGCTGACCACATGCAGAAGAATGCAACAGAACCCCTATCTATCACCATATACAAAAATGAACTTTAAATGGATCAAAGACCTAAACTTAAAACCTCAAATTGTAAGAATTCAGAAGAAAACGTGGAAAACACTCTTATACACATTGGAGTAGGGAACCAACTCTTGATCAAATTCCCAAAAGCGAATGCCATAAATGATAAGATAGACAAATGGGACCTCATTAAAGTGAAAAGCTTTTGCACAGCAAAACAAAACAAAACAAAAAACCATCAAGAAAGTGGGGAGACAACCTACAGAATGGAAAAAAAAATATTTGCTAACTATGCAACTGACGAAGGCATACATTCAGAATCTACAAGGAACTCAAATTAACTGGAAGGGGGAAAAAACCCCATTAAAAAATGGGCAAAGGACATGAATAGACACTTTTCAAAAGAAGATATACAAGCAGCCAGCAGACACATGAACAAATGCTCAGCCTCAATAATAAACAAAAAAATGCAAATCAAAATCACAATGAGATACCACCTAACTGCAGTAAGGATGGCCCTCATCAATAAATCAAATTAAAACAAAACAAAACAAAGAACAACAAAACCAGATCCTGGTGAGGGTTGGAGAAAAGGGA